GGGTAAGGCTCCTGGCGCTTACCGGCTGCGAGACTACCCCGCACCCTCTCTCGTTGTCGTTGCTCAGGTCAAAACGTGGTTTCAGAATCGCAGAGCTAAATGGAGGCGTCTAAAGCAGGTACGGGGATGTTTCCGTTTCTATAGAAATAAGTATTTTAATTGTCTTATCTTGTGCCGCGCTCGCCTATTCCAGGTTGTGTGCAGAAGTCATCTAAATGGCTGTTTAACCTCTTCACCTTGATTAAAAAGACAAATAGTCATGCTGGAATCCATGAGGGCTCGTTCAGGCAGCACTAACGTTAAAAGCGCCTAATGTAGTTCCTATATCAATTATGCCCGGCTTTCACACACAGCCTATTAAAACTCCACGCTAATTGTTTTGTAAACCCATATGTTGTTTAGCCAATTAACGCGGAGAAGATAAGTAATTGTCAGTAAATTACTCAGGCAGTTGTTTTGGAGAAGAATATGTACTGGCTTTTGAATCGCCCTCTCTTCATAAAGGATTCATTTTTGTTGGGAGAGGCAGGTACAAACACCTTGTTTATTCTGAGGAGCCGCATGGAAAATGAAGTAGCTTTTACTTTTACTTTTCCTTTATGAAGAGTTTCAGGGTATGAGGCTGAGAGGTTGGAGCGGTTTCCCTTCCTTTAGAAATTGTGCTCAAGTGGATAATTTTTTTTAAACTATTTTACGTCCCAGAGGGCCTGGTCCTGCCCGTATTGGCCACATCAAGGCCCATGGGCTCAAAGATTTGTGAAAAATCCCTGCATGGTGGCCCAAGTCCGGCTTCAGTAAGGTGACAGCGACAGCTGAGCTTCACTCGTACATCAGCCTTTAATATAAAAAATAATAAGAAAAGATAACTAATCACAGTGCCACGCTCTAGATGTGTTCTGCGACCTTCCCCCGGCTTTAACCCGTACTTCAGTCATTTTTTCAATAAAACCCCTTTACTGCGGCGAGAGGTGGGCTGGGTCCTCGGCGGTGCCTCCTCGGCAGGGCCCAACCCGCGCCGCAGTGTCCGGAGAGCTCGCTTGGGATCTCGGCCATTTTAAGTCATTTCCTCCTTTTCATTCAGTCGCATCCATTTCTCTGAGCCCGCACGGTTATATCATGGGTACGTGTCTCTGCCTGCTTTCTCAGAAGAGTATCTTTCATGCCCCTTAGGGGACTGGGCTCCCCAGACAGCTGCCAATGCAGGGCTACTCCTGCCTTCAGAAATGGGGTTTTGTTTTGGTTTGTTTTTAATGGTGAGTGTTTTAATTTTGAGTTTTAGCTTAATTAGTAATTTTTCCCCGCTTGCTTTCAGGCCACTGATGGATTCGGCCTCCCTCCTTTTGCTGTTGGGTGTAATTAAAGAAAGATCAGGGCAGGAGGAAGCTGTGTGTCGGTGTTTGTAGACTCATAATAAACATTTGCTTTGCTAAAGACAAAAGTTCAGAGGTTCCTGGGCTCCGGCAGCTCCTGACTCTTTTGAAGTGGCTGCGATAACCATCGCCAAGGAGCCTTATTCACAGCAGCGGCCCCTGTGGCTGCCGGGGAGTGGGATCAGAGCCGAGCCCCTGCGTGCGGCTGCACCCTTGCCAGTCTCCATCCCACTCAGGCAGGTTTATAGGCAGGAGGCCCGGGGAACCAGTGGGACACCTGCCTTTTCCTGCAGGAAACCCAAGGTGATTTTCCCACCCAGCACAGCTGGGATTCCCAGACCTCCTGGTTCCATGGCCCGTATTCCTGTATAAAGCCAGCTGCCTTCATTGCAGGAGAACCCCCAGGCCACCAAAAAAGAAGTGGAAGGTGCTGATGATCATGGTGACCAAAGGCCGGAGAGCTGCCCGACCCCCGAGCAGAAGGGTAAGGAGGTCTCCCTGGACGGCTCGCAGTACACCCCCTCGCCCGCCTCGCAGGAGGACCTGGAGTCAGACGTCTCCGACGACTCCGATCAAGAAGTGGACATTGAAGGCGATAAAGGCTATTACAATCCTACCCACTAATGGCCTCATGTGGAGAGTGGACCCTAACTCGGCTTGCACTTTACCAGGGGCTGATTTGGAAGAATATTTTGCTACCGGAGAAAACTTTCACTGTTCCACTGAAAGAAAAAAAGAACACCACCACCGAATAGACTCATTTTATAATAAGCAGAGAAAGAAAGATGTATTTTCCGCAGTCAATTTTTGGCAAACCTCTAATTTGGTTACAGGAACATGGTTTGTATTTAATTATTTGTAAGATAGATTTGTACATTAATCAATGTTCTAACTGGACTATAATACTGCACCCTGTCCTTACTCACGGGGGGGCTGAATCAGCTGCTCTTGGTGACCAGGCAAAACTCTCTAGCTGGTGTGGAAGTGAGTACGGATTGTGGGACTAAGCCCCTCGTATGTGTAAAGTAGTTTAAGTAGATTAATTTAAACACCTTTGCAAGCAGAAAAACATATTATGTGAATCGGGGAGGGATTTGACCATCCCAACAAGTGCCTTATGCTCACAGCCTTTTACTGGCCGTGGTGCTCTCCACCAGGACATCCTCTGTTCATCAGGTAGTCTTTGGACAGACTCATTTTTGCTCTTGCATGACATGAAATGTGCCTTCTCAGATTTTTGAGAAGTTTTCCCCACAATCTGGATGGTTCCATTTGCAGAAAAGAACACCAAACCGTATTTTTCTCCTTGAAAATCTCTAGCACTGTTTTCTACAGATTTTGTATTTGAGAAGAAAATGCGGGGAGTGATAGGGCCCTGCTGCAGGAGAGAAACGGCTTCAGCTGTGGGGGATAAGTGAGGCACACGGCAGTGGGAAGATAATGCCTATTGTATACATATCTGCTTCTGTACATACTAGTTTTCTTTAAAAGTCTTGTGGTTTTATACCTCATATTGTTCATATTTTGTACATAATTGTTCAATGTTAAAAAAAAAAAGAAAAAAGGCAAACCCTGGTATTTAATTTTTGATGGACTTGTCTGTGAAATAAAACTGAGCTCTGCACCACCCACCGTGCTGACCGTCCAGTTTCTGGCAGGAGAAATCCCAAACGGCCAGCGATGCCGCAGGCAGGTGGTCATCGAGCTTTTCCCTGGGGTGCGGCGTGGGGCACCTGCCACTCCGCGGCCC